AGCAAATAATTGTCCAAACCTGCAGCTTTTTGTATTAACAGGCAATATCTGACCACGGGGGCAGGTTATCATTTCGTAACAATGTGTGTGAAAATGAGCTTTCTGCCAGCCTTGAAAACATCTCGAGAGAGAGAGAGAGAGACTCCAATCTAGAAACAAAAAAAATATTCTTATTGTTGCCTCTTCAAATAAGACTGTGGTCTGCATTCATTCCAGAATGGGTTTGAACCGCAGCTTTGACGCCCCCTGGCCCTCTTTGCATTTATTATTTCAAATGAAAAAGCAACAGACTTCCAGCTTTCTCTAGAAGAGGAAATTCTCAACATTATGCAGTCAGGCTCAGATCTTCCTGCTTCAATTTATGTCATATTGTGCTGCACAATAGGGACATCTTGAGCATCTTTTGCAGGAATTCCATATTTCTGATTCCTTTAAAAACAAATAAATAAACAATGTATTGTTGAAGGCTTTCAGGGCTGGAATGACTAAGTTGTTGTCGGTTTTTCGGGTTGTATGGTCATGTTCTAGAAGCATTCTCTCCTGACGTTTCGCCTGCAGGTGAAACATCAGGAGAGAATGCTTCTAGAACATGGCCATACAACCCAAAAAACCTACAACAACCCAAATAAATAAACAACTCTGAGGACCCTAAAAACATAAAAAGGTAAAGGTTTCCCCTGATATTAAGGATAATCATGTCCAGCTCTGCAGAGTGGGGCTCATCTCCATTTCTAAGCTGAAGTGCCGGCATTGTCCATAGACACCTCCAAGGTCATATGGCCAGCATGACTGCACGGAGCACTGTTACCTTCCTACCAAGGTGGTGCCAATTGATCTACTCACATGTTTTCGAAATGCTAGGTTGGCAGAAGCTGGAACTAACAGTGGGAACTCACCTGCTCTTCGGCTTCGAACCACTAACTTTTCAGTCAGCAAGTTCATCACCTCAGTGGTTTAACCTGCTGCACCACTTGGGGGTTCCCTCAAAACATACACCAAGAGTAATAAATCTGTTTAACTGAGTAATTGATTCAAAATTAATTGTAATTACAGAAACTGGAGGGGAATATGTCATTGACCAGTACTTTGTGTTAGTCACTTAGCTAAATATACTTAACTAAAGGTGTATGCGAACTATAGAATTAATGCAGCTTAACACTGCCTTAATTGCCAAGACTCAATGATATGGAATCAAGGGAGTTGTAGTTTGGTGAACCACCAACACTCTTCGGTAGATCCTTCCTTCCTTCTCTCTTTCCATCCCCCTTCCCTCCCTCTTTCTCCTTTCTTCCATTTTGTCCTTCCTTCTCTCCTCCTTTCCTCCTTCTCTACCTTTTATCTTTCCTTCTCTCTTTCCTTCCTCCTTCCCTCCCTCTTTCTCCTTCCATCGTCCTTCCTTCCCTCTTTCCTCCCTCTCTCCTTCTTCTTCCTTCCCTTTTGTCTTTCCTTCCTTTTCTTCCTTTATCCTGAACTAAAGTTCTTTGCAAAAGGATTTTCTGAGAGCAATCTCTTTTCCTTCCTTCCTTCCTTCCTTCCTTCCTTCCTTCCTTCCTTCCTTCCTTCCTTCTTTCCTTCCTTCCTTCTCTACCTCTTGCCTGGGTGTTGGTGGGAAGGGAGCCTTGCAGAGAGTCATTTTCGCGCATGCACTGTAACGTCTTTTTGGGGTTTTGGAGGTTTTTAAGTCCTTTCCACTCTCCCCCTTCCCTCCCTCTTTCTCCTTCCATCCTTCCCTTCCACCCTTTTGTCCTTCCTTTCTTTCTTATCCTTCCTTTCCTTCTCTTTCCTTCCTCCTTCCCTCCCTCCCTCACTCCTCCCATCCTTCCCTTCCACCCTTTTGTCCTTCCTTCTCAATTTCCTTTATCCTTTCCTTCCTTCCTTCCATCCATCCATCATTCTCTTTGTCCCCTTCTATTATTCCTTTTATCCCTTCCTTCCTTCCTTCCTTCCTTCTTTCCTTCCTTCCTTCCTTCTTTCTTTCCCTTTTTCTTTCTTCTTCCTTCTACTCTTCTTCCTCCTTCCCTTTCTCTCCTTCTCCCTTCCTTCCTTCCTTCCTTCCTTCCTTCCTTCCTTCCTTCCTTCCTCCATCCTTCCTTCCTTCCTTCCTTCATTCCTTTCTTTCCTCTTTTTCTTGTTTCCTTCCTCTTCCTCTTTTTCTTTTCCTTTCCTTTCCTTTTCTTTTCCCCTTCACTCTCTCACTCTTCTTCCATCCTTCCCTTTCTCCCTTTTTCCTTTCTTCCTTCCCTCTTTCCTTCTTTCCTCCTCCTTTCCCTCCCTCCCTTCTTTCCTTCCTTCCTTCCTTCCTTCCTTCCTTCCTTTGATCCATCTATCATTCTTTTTCTTCCTTCTATTTTTCCTTTTATCCTTTCCTTCCTTCCTTTCACCCTTTTGCCCTTCCCTCCCTTTTGTATTTTCTTCCTCCTTCTTTCCCTCGCTTCCCTCCCTCTTTCTCCTTCCATCCTTCCTTTCCACCTTTTTTCCTTCCTTCCTTCTCTTTCCTTCTTTCCTCTTCCTTTCCCTCCCTCCCTCCCTTCTTTTCATCCATCGATCATTCTTTTTCTTCCTTCTATGTTTACTTTGATCCTTTCCTCTTCCATGCCACCTTCCCTCTCTCACTCTCCTTCCATCCTTCACTCCCTCCCTTCCCTCTCTCACTCTCCCTTCCCTCCTTTCTTCCTTCTCTCTTTCCTTCTTTCCTCCCTTCCTTCCATCATCGAGCAGACAGTCCTCCTTGCAGGGAGTGCTAGCACGTGGCCCCCAAGCTAGAAAGTTGGCCCAGGCCTGAACTAGTGTCTTGGGTACTGAGCCGACTCCAGGCTTTCAAGGAGCTCTCCTAGGTGCTGAACTGGCTTGGGAAGTAGAGCTCAGGACCATGGAGAGCTCCTCTATCCCTGGCTTCCTCAGCCCACTGCTGCGCATCATGAGATGCGATTTGGAGGCTGAGGGCTTTCCTGCTTGGAGAGGAAGAGTACCAATCACTGGAGCAAGGCAATTGCCTGGCAACTGTTGGGGCCAGCTGGGATGTCTATGTAAATAAATCAGAAATGTTTCCAACGCAGCCTGGCTCCGCAGCGCCAGTTTCTCCCCCGCTAAGCAGGCGATCCAGCAGCCTGCCTTCCTGCCTGCGAGGTTTCCGCCATCCCTTATCGCCTGCGGTAGGGAAACACAGCTGCGGTGCCGGCATATCCCAGTGTCTCGGGAGGATGCAAGGCGGTTGTGCCCTGGAAAACCCCTCTCTTTGCAAAGCAGGAAGGAGCAGGGGGGGATCATTCTGTTGGGTTTATGCTTCACGTTGATTGCATAGCATAGATATAAACTACAACAAGGCAGTGAGTTGCCTCCTTTGCTATGTCTGGCTAGCACTATTGGTTAGAGCAGTGTTTCTCAACCTTCCTAATGCCGCACCAACCCCTTCACACAATTCCTCATGTTGTGACCCCCAACCATAACATTATTTTTGTTGCTGCTTCATAATTATCATTTTGCTACCGTTATGAATCATCATGTACATATCTGATATGCAGGATGTATTCTCATTCACTGGACCAAGTTTAGCACAAATACCCGATATGCCCAAATTTGAATACTGGTGGGATTTTGTCATTTAGGAGTTTGGGGAAAATAGACCTTGACCATTGGGAGTTGTAGTTGCTGGGATTTATAGTTCACCTACAATCAAAGAGCATACATCACCAATTATGGCATTGAATCAAACTTGGCACACAGAACTCCCATGATGAACAGAAAAGATTGGAAGGGTTTGGTGGGCATTGACCTTGAGTTTGGGAGTTGTAGTTCATTGAGATCCAAAGAGCACCGTGGACTCAAACAATGCTGGATCTGGACCAAACTTGGCATGGATACTCAATATGGCAAAATGTGAACACTGGTGGAGTTTGGGGAAAATAGAGCTTGACATTTAGAGTTGTAGTTGCTGGGATTTGTAGTTCACCTACAATCAAAGAACATTTTGAACGTCACCAATTATGGAATTGAACCAAACTTGGCACACAGGACTCTCATGATTAGAAAGGTTTGGTGGACATTGACCTTGAGATTGAGAGTTGTAGTTCTCCTACATCCAGAGAGCACTGTGGACTCAAATAATGATGGATCTGGACCAAACTTGGCATGAATACCCAATATGCCCAAATTTGAACACTGGTGGAGTTTGGGGAAAATAGATCTTGACATTTAGGAGTTGTAGTTGGTGAGATCTATAGCTTACCTACAAACAAAGAGAATTCTGAACTCCACCAATTATGGAATTGAACCAGTCTTGGCACACAGAACTCCCATGACCAACAGAAAATACTGGAAGGGTTTGGTGGGCATTGACCTTGAGTTTTGGAGTTGTAGTTGACCTACATCCAGAGAGCACTGTGGACTCAAACAAGGATGGATCTTGACTAAACTTGGCATGAATGCTCAGTATGCCCAAATTTGGGCACTGGTGGAGTTTGGGGAAAATAGACCTTGACATTTAGGAAATGTAGTTGCTGGGATGTATAGTTCACCTACAATCAAAAAGCATTCCGAACCCCACCAACGATAGAAGGTAATGGAGGGCAAAAGGGAGAAATGTGCCAAGATTGAAACTTACGATCTTCCGGGCAGGCCCTGCTCTTGATCCCACCTTTGTCACAAATGTGCTTGGTGGAGCAGGGGTGGCTCAACCCATTATGCAAAGTAAGCATTTGCAGTATAGTTGATTTTGCCTAGGGACACTCTTGAGGTGCTCTTGGGGGAAAATAGACCTTGACATATGCGAGTTGTAGTTACTGTGATGTATAGTTCACCTACAATCAAAGAGCATTCTGAACTCCACCAATGATGGAATTGAACCAAATATGGCACACAGAACTCCCACGATGAACAGAAAATATATATCAGTTAGGGCCACCTCTAATGGGAGCTGTACATAGTCTCCAAATTCAGTGCTGTGAGGCTTTCCTTTGTGTTGTATGGGACTTGCCTGATCTTGGCATTGGTCTCTCTTCTAGATCTTCCACATGACGTACGACTTGGCGAGTGCCGTGGTGAGGATTGTGAATTTGATCGGCATGATGCTCCTCCTGTGTCACTGGGATGGTTGCCTCCAGTTCTTGGTGCCCATGCTTCAGGACTTCCCTGATGACTGCTGGGTCTCATTGAATCGTATGGTGGTAAGTGCCTTCCATCTCACAGCTATAACTTCTGCAGGACAGGTTGCATGAGGCTGAGCAAGATACTCCAAAATACTCTCAAATTTTCCACATGGGTGGCTGAAAGAGTGGTACTGAAGGTGACAAAAGACACCTATTTAATCCACTTTACCGTATATACTTGAGTATAAGCCGACCCGAATATAAGCCGTAGCCCCTAATTTTACCACAAAAATCAGGGAAAACGTATTGATTTGCGTACAAGCCGAGGGTGGGAATTGCAGCAGCTACTAGTCAATTTCAAAATAAAAATAGATACCAATAAAATGACATTCATTGAGACATCCATAGCTTAAATGTGTTTGAATATTTACATAAAACTGTAATTTAAGATAAGACTGTCCAGCTCTGATTAAACTATTATTCTAACCTTCTTCAATGACAATGAGCTTACGTGGCCTTCCAATAATAATAGAGTAAAATAATAAATATAATGAAAATAATAATAATAAAATAAAATAATGGAAATGTAGTAATAACAATAATAATAATAATAGAGTAAAACAATAAATGTCACACAAATAGAATATAATGTAATAATAATAAAGTAAAATAATAAAGGTAATAATAATAGCGTAAAATAATAAATGTGATAAAATATTGATAATACCAATAATAATAGAGTAACATAATAAATGTGATAATAATAGAGTAAAATAATAAATGTGATAAAATAATAATAGAGTAAAATAATACATGTGATAAAATATTAATAATACAAATAATAATAGAGTAACATAATAAATGTGATAATAATAGCATAAAATAATAAATGTGATACAATATTATTATTAATAATAGCATAAAATAATAAATATGATAAAATATTAATAATACCAATAATAATAGAGTAATATAATAAATGTGATAATAATAGAGTAAAATAATAAATGTGATAAAATATTATTATTAATAATAATAATAGAGTAAAATAATAAATGTAATGATAAAACATAGAGTAAAATAAAAAAAACTCTGTCCATAGACACCTCCAAGGTAATGTGGCCAGCATGAATGCATGAAGTGCTGTTATGTTCCTGCCGGAGTGGTACCTATTGATCTACTCACATTTGCATGTTTTTGAACTGCTTGGTTGGCAGAAGCTGGGGCTAACAGCGAGAGCTCACCCTGCTCCCTGGATTCAAACTCAGCAAGTTCAGCAGCTCAACAATTTAACCTGCTGCGCCACCAGAGCTCATGATCAGGAAATAACTCTTAGAAAATGCAACAATTGAAGAGCCAGCATTGTCCATAGACACCACCAAGGTCATGTGGCCAGCATGACTGCATGAAGTGCTGTTACCTTCCCGCAGGAGCGGTACCTATACATTTGAATGTTTTCGAATTGCTAGGTTGGCAGTAGCTGAGGCTAACAGCAGGAGCATACCTTGCTCCCTGGATTCAAACCGCTGACCTTTTGGTCAGCAAGTTCAGCAGCTCAGCTGTTTAACCTGCTGTGCCACCGGAGCTCCTGATCAGGAAATAACTCTTAGAAAATGCAATAATCGAAGAGCTGGCATTGTCCATAGACACCACCAAGGTCAAAATGTGGTCGGCATGACTGCATGAAGCACCGTTACCTTCCCACAGGAGCGGTACCTATTGATCTACTCACATTTTCAAACTGCTAGGTTGGCAGAAGCTGGGGCTAAAAATGGGAGCTCACCCCCACTCCCCGGATTCAAACCGTCAACCTTTTGGTCAGCAAGTTCCACAGCTCAGCGGTTTAACCTGCTGCCACCAGAGCTCCTGATCAGGAAGTAACTCTTAGAAAATGCAATAATCAAAGAGCCGGCATTGTCCATAGACACCGCCAAGGTCATGTGGCCGGCATGACTGCATGGAGCGCCGTTACCTTCCCACAGGTGCGGTACCTATTGATCTACTCACATTTGCATGTTTTCGAACTGCTAGGTTGGCAGAAGCTGGGGCTAACAGCGGGAGCTCATCCCAGTTCCCGGATTCGAACCGCCTACCTTTCAGTCACTTTCAGTTTACTGAGTCTCTGGTAATAAAGGAAGATAAGGCCTATCTGAGTACCCAAAGCACTAGAAACACAACACAGAAATCTAAATTTGTATCATCGCAAAAGGAAGCAGGCTAGATGAGGGCAGATCGCAACCTAAAAATACTTCTGCGTTAGCGTTTCAGAGGAAAGAGGTGACGTGCCCCCTTTATCAAAGGCAAGTGTCACGGCTGGCAGAACAAGAGGGAAAGCAAAGCCAATCTAGCAGCAGGGAGGGCAGCCCGTAGGTTGGCGTTTGGGAGAGATTTATTTTTCCTCCTGTTGCGTGCTCTGCTGCGGGTCAAAGAATGTGTAAGTTGTGTGAGCGCTGCCTGGGGTGAAAGACCGGCCTGGAATCAGGAGATAAGTTTAGTTCTGTTCAGAAGCAAATGCGTGCCAGAGGAAGCGGGGATTGGTTGCACCCTGGGCCTGACCCAGCTTCCAAATAGTTACCAGATCATGGAAACAGAATCTAGGGCAGTGTTTCTCAACCTGGGGGGGTCGCCAGGTGGTGTCAGGGGGGTCGCCAAAGACCATCAGAAAACACAGTATTTTCTGTTGATTATGGGGGTTCTGTGTGGGAAGTTTGGCCCAATTCTATTGTTGGTTGGGTTCAAGATTCTCTTTGACTCTAGGTGAACTATACATCCCAGCAACCATAACTTCCAGATGGTAAGGTCTATTTCCACCAAACTCCACCAGTGTTCACATTTGGGCATAGTGCTTCTGCCAAGTTTGGTCCAGATCCATCATTGTTTGAGTCCACAGTGCTCTCTGGATGTAGGTGAACTACAACTCCAAAACTCAAGGTCAATGTCCACCAAACCCTTTCAGTATATTTTCTGTTGGTCATGGGAGTTCTGTGTGCCAAGTTTTGTTCAATTCCATCATTGGTGGAGTTCAGAATGCTCTTTGTAGGTGAACTATAAATCCCAGCAACTACAACTCCCAAATGACAACATCAGCCTCCCCCAATCCCACCAGTATTCAAATTTGGGTGCATCGGGTATTTGTGCCAAATTTGGTCCAGTGAATGAAACTACATTTAGCAAATGAGATATTTTCATTATGAAAATGTTATGGTTGGGGGTCACCACAACATGAGGAACTGTATTAAGGGGTTGCGGCATGAGGAAGTTTGAGACCCACTGATCTAGGGATACAGAACTAGTATCTGATTTAAGATATTTTACTAAAGATATTAAAGATCTTCAAGGGGCCTCTGATTAAACCGCTGAGCAGCCGAACTTGCCGATGAAAAGGTTGATGGTTTGAATCCGGAGAGTGGGGGAGAGCTCCCATTTTTAGCCCTAGCGTCTGCCAACCTAGCAGTTCGAAAACATGCAAATGTGAGTAGATCAATAGGTACTGCTTTTGCAGGAAGGTAACAGCGCTCCATGCAGTCATGCCGGCCACATGAACTTGGAGGTGTCTATGGACAACATTGGCTCTTCAATTATTGCATTTTCTAAGAGTTACTTCCTGATCAGGAGCTCCAGTGCCACAGCAAGTTTAACCGCTAAGCTGTGGAATTTGCTGACCAAAAGGTTGACAGTTTGAATCCAAGGAGTGCGGGGTGAGATTCCATTTTTAGCCCCAGCTTCTGCCAACCTAGCAGTTCGAAAACATGTGAATGTGAGTTGATCAATAGGTACCACTCCGGCAGGAACGTAAAAGCATTTCATGCAGTCATGCTGGCCACATGATCTTGGAGGTGTCTATGGACAACACCGGCTCTTCAATTATTGCATTTTCTAAAAGTTACTTCCTGATGAGGAGCTCCGGTGCCACAGCAGGTTAAACCGCTGAGCTGTGGAACTTGCTGACCAAAGGGTTGATGGTTTGAATCCAGGGAGTGGGGGTGAGCTCCCATTTTTAGCCTCAGCTTCTGCCAACCTAGCAGTCTGAAAACATGCAAATATAAGTAGATCAATAGTTACTGCTCCAGCGAGAAGGTAACCACTCCATGAAGTCATGCTGGCCACATGACCTTGGAGGTGTCTATGGACAACACCGGCTCTTTGGCTTAGAAATGGAGATGAGCACCACCCCCAGAGTTGGACACGACTAGACTTAATGTCAAGGGGAAACCTTTACTTTACCTTTAATATCCTCAATGCAAAGGGGGAGGAATCTCAGGGTGAGAGTTCTACCTTGAAAGTGTGGGTGTGTCTGTGTGCTTTCCTCCTGTGTTAGACTTGATGTGTAATTGCTGGTGTTGCTGTTAAACGAATGGCATACTCAATGCAACTGTAGTTGATGCTTAATATTGCCTGTGTATTGACATCACCAGAGCTTACCTTCTGTGACCGCACATTCCGACTGTCCTGAGTTGTCAGGGATAATCCCAATTAATCCTCTTTTTAAAGATGAGCAAAAATGTCCCAGTTTCTATCCATGCCTCCCACTTCCCCCCTTTGCCTTCACTAACTTCATACTTAGTTCAAAGGGTGAAAGTAGTTTGCACTCAAGGAACTTGAAAGGCTGGAGAGGAGAAGAGGGAGGCGAGTCTTACCCTTCCCTGTCGGCTCAGGCAAAAGCAAACTGCTGCAGCCTCTCCTAGCTTGTTGAAGGGAGATATTGACAAGATAGAATGTGCCCAGAGGAGAGCGGCTCAAATGATGAAGGGTCTGGAGAACAAGCCCTAGGAGGAGCGGCTTAAAGAGCTGGGAATGTTTAGCCTGCAGAAGAGAAGTATGAAAGGAGACATGATAGCCATATGTGAGGTGAAGTCCTAGGGAGGAGGGAGCAAGCTTGTTTTCTGCTTCCCTGGAGACTAGGACTTGGGCTTGGTCTCATGTTAGCCACCCCGAGTCCCCACTGGGGAGATGGTGGTGGCATATAAATAAAGATGATGATGATTGTGATTATTATTATTATTATTATTGTAGGACACAATGGAACAATGGCTTCAAACTACAGGAAAGAAAGGAGATTCCACCTGAACATTAGGAAG